TAATTTTAATTATGTTCAAGTATAACATTGATAAGAATGTAATTAGATAGCTTAAGAGAATAGAACACACAATACAGAAAAAAATATATAATAATGATAGTTACAAGGTAAAAGCCAGATAAAGTAAAACAAAGACAAAAGTTAAAAGGTAATACATCTTAGAGAAATCTTGGATTAAGGACTTTAGGTAATTGCTATCTTTCAGAGAAAACAGATCCATATATCACACAAATATTAGTATATATATTTAAGTAGTTCATGGCCTAAATATAAAAATAAGACTCTAAAGGCAGAAATGTTAAAGATAATCTAAGTCCTCCCCCAAACCCACAAGTTATTCCAAAAGGCAGATTGACTACATGACAGTTTCAAGAGTTCCAAAGTATTCATCAACAAAGATGGACGGAAATAATAAGGAGAAGTAACTGTGTAAATAAGAGATAAAAATTAGTATGATGGCATGGGAGGGTCTTTCAATCAGTAAAAAGACAGATACCCCATCAGAAACTGTACAGCAAGCATTAGCTGGCACCTCCCCAGGATAACACACTGTATGTGAACATACAGAAGTGTGCATTGCTCTCTCTTCTGGGTTATGAGTATAATTAAAAATGAATTCGTCACCAACTTATCAAAAAGCTGCAAACAGATTGATTCTTTTCAGTGTTGCTATGGGCTAGAGAAATGCGCATGGTAGGATGTGTAGAGTGGACCAGTACAATTCTAGTACTGTAGACAGCATATAACTTTTCAAATATATTTTTATAACCCAGGAAGTTTATTGAAAATTCTTTTCAAAAATTATTAGCATAACACCTTAATGATATATTCATAGCCCTTGTTAATGTAGTTTCTTTCCTTAAAAAATTAAAACACTTTAAACAACCCAATTTAATAAAACTGGTAGTGGCTAAATAATTTATTATGTTCCAATACAATTGACGTATTCTAAAGAATAAGGAACTCTTATGTGGTGATTTCTTCCCTATTTATGGTTTCCTGTGTAGGTTTACTTTGGAGGGAAAACCAATTTCCAAAATCACTTGTAGAAATAGAGTTCATTTAAACATTTCAAACTCAAAAACTCTGAACAAATAGAAACGAGAGCCTAGGTTTCACTTACCTTGAAAACCTGAGAGAGAGACCTGTTTAATCACTCTGGTTTAATTTTATACCAGAAAGCTTCCAAGGAGGGAAAACTTTTCTCCGTTCAGTAACCTTGACCATTGCTGTAATCTGCATGTAACTTTTCTGTCACAAAATTTGAGTAGTCATGAATTAAAAAAACAAAGCAAAACAAATACAAACACTAAGCTGGACAAGTATAACCACACCCAGTGCATTACTTCATCTTTTTGACAGCCTTGTAACCGTTGTTAGCTGTTATAATTATAATTCTTAATTTTCTGTGGATGAGAGACTCTCAGGAGAGATCTTAATCTCTCAAGGATGGATCATGAATCTAAAAGTTGAGTTCGTGAAAGCTGCCTATGGAGACGGAAGCAAACATATGCAGGGAGCTCAAAAGGTGTGTAGTTGGTTATAGGACAA